CACCGTTCTGCGATGTTCGAGACCATCCAAGTTACGAGTAAGTGCGGGGTCATTGATCAGCTTGATAGCTCGTTTTTGCACGGTATTCAAAAGCATTAAGGTATGTTTGGGTGCTGCACTCCATATATGTGAGCAGTACTCCATAGTTGGTCGAATCTGGGCTTTGTAGAGTGTCAGCAATTGGCTTGGTGTGTACAGATGTCTTGTACGAAATAGCACCCCCAGCTTTTTGGAGGCCCTTTTAGCAATATCTGCCACGTGACTGTGCCAAGACATGTTGGTCTCTGCAGTAACCCCCAAGATATTCAACTGACTCTGTAATGTGACAGCACTTCCAGATAGCATGATGTTTGGCTCACTAGTGCTGGTCTTTTTTGAAAACAGAGCTGCTTGGGTTTTCTGCGCGTTGAACTGTACAAGGTTTTTGTTACCCCAGTCCTCTATTATCTCCAGGTCGTTATTTATCTGCGATATTTGAGTTAGTCTAAGATGATGGAATTCACGTGCGGAAAGACCTGTCGGTGGTATGAGTGAGGAGACTACATTGCCATCGTCTGCAAAGCAATAAAGTGGATTTACTGTTTTATCTATGAGGTCATTTATGTAAATCAGAAAAAGAGTTGGCGAAAGGATTGCTCCCTGTGGCACACCAGCATTTATTTGGTAAGAGTTGGAGTTCTGGCCATCCAGTGCAACATAAATGGATCTGTCCTTTAGGTAACTTTCAAACCAAGTGCAAAGTTTCGGCGATAATCCCATTGCTTTGAGCTTGTTGAGCAGATTTTCATGCCAAACTTTGTCGAATGCTTTAGATATATCTAAGGCAATTGTTCTTGTTTCACCCCGCAACTCAATCGCTTTTTGCCATAAGTGAGTGACGTATGTAAGTAAATCGCCAGTTGACCTATATTTTCGAAATCCGTATTGCTTATCGTTGATAATTTTGTACTTTTCCAAGTACTTGGTTAGGTGATTGTTCACAACTCTTTCCATTACTTTTGATATCACCGGAAGTAGAGCAATTGGTCTATAGTTTAACGGATCTGTCTTTTTTCCTTTCTTTGGAATGGGTTGTACTGCGGCAGACTTCCATGATGATGGATATACTCCTTGCCTGTAAGACAAATTGAATAATTTTGCGAAAGTTGGGGTGAGTTCGTTGGCGCAATTTTTGAGTACTATTGCGGGAATGCCATCCGGACCCATTGCTTTGTTTGTATCCAGCTTTTTTAGGGATTTTCGTATTTCTCTGTGACAAAAGGGTACCTCTGGCATACTATGGGAAACCCTTTCAATGAACGGTGGAGTTTTTCCGTTTGGCACTGTTAGGTTGGAGTTGGAGGAAAACATTTGGGCAAGCATATTGGCTTTTTCCTCTGATGTTGTGGCTAAGTGATTATTTTTATCTGTAAGTGGTGGTATGGATGACTTGGTGAAGTTAGATCCAACAGCTTTTGCAAGAGACCAAAAAGACCTAGAACTACTTGGACAATTCAGCAACCTGTTTTTTATTCTTTGATTGTATGTTTCTTTAGCGGAGTCAATAGTAATTTTGCAACTATTTCTGGCTTCTATAAATTCTGTGTGGTTTTGAGCGGTTTGCTGTTGTTTCCAAAGGTTATATGCTCTGTGTTTTTTCTGTACAGCCGTTTGACACTGGCTGTTGAACCAAGGTTTTGCATTAGCTCTACGTTTAGTTGTATGTGGGATATATGCGTCCATTCCAGATAAGATTACTTGTGTTATTTCATTACAGCAAATAGTGGGATCAGCTGTTTTAAAGCAAACCTCTTGCCATGGAAAATCCAGGTAATACTGTTTTAGGTCATTCCATTTTGCCGATTTATAGTGCCACATTTTACGAGGAAGTGGTTGTAGGCTTGATGGGATGAGCATTTCGCACTTTGTTATTATAAGTTTATGATCGGACGAACCAAGTGGAGTATCTACTTGAATTGTGTACGAGTCAGGATTGGTGGTTAGGAACAAGTCTAAAAGCGCTGCAAATTCGCCCCTTTCTGAGATACGGGTAGGTTCATCGACAAGCTGCGTTAGACCACAACTTATGGCAAAAGCTTCTGCTTCTCTGCCTTCGTTATCTGTTTTGTTGTGGTGTTTCAGCCAGGGTATATTGTGGACGTTGAAATCGCCTAAAAAGACAATTTCCGCCTGTGGATAGTTTGACTGTATACTATCACAGCTTTCGGATAATGTCGCGAAAAAGTTTTGGTAATCGGTGTTACTTGGCGGTCGGTAGAGGCAGCAGATAAACTTGGTCGATGACTTTGAGGTGAATTTTAGCCATATGATATCAAGGTTCGCTGGTTCTAGCTTCTCCTCTCGATGACATGAAAGGTCATTTTTAATATACACACAGATCCCAAAATTATGTCGAAATCGGTGGTGTAGGTCATAGCCGGGATAAAGATAGTTCACAATAGGTGTTGCAGAACTGATTTTAGTTTCAGTGAGAACAAGGATGTCAGGTCTTTGTTCTTCAAGATGTTGGTGAACTGAATTCATATTTGTACTTATTCCTCTTATATTGCTAAAATCAATTCTGAGTTGAGTTTTTGATCTTCTCTTTATATCTTTGCATGAAGGACCCCCAGGATCACCCGACGCCCGGAGATCCGAGTGGTCGGGTATTTTACCTCCGGAATATTTTGATCCTGGAGGCGCCATCATGCTATCTGTTACTCATTGTTGGAACCGGACTGCCAGCGCAGTAGCGGAACGTGGTGATACCACTTAGCGCTACTCAATTCTGGCATGGTGGTATCTCACCGGTCGACGCCCAATGAGTAAAAAGCGTCTACCACCTACGGTGCCTTTGTCTGTCGAGTCTCTTCCATAAGTAGTTTGTTTTTGACAAACTCTAATGTCATATAACATCAAGGGCAGTAACAATGCCTTGAAATGACTACATGATAGTGATTGTGAAATTACTTCATTTTTTCCAAGTTTTTCACCAGCAGCTTTCAGTTCAAAAACAGTGTGCTCAAACTAAGTTATAGAAGAATTGAGAGGAGTTCCTTCAATATACTTCAGTGACCTTAGTTTCCGTTGTAGTTGTACCTGTGTTGCTATTCCAGTTTTACAGTATGTTCCTCGGAGTATCTCAATAATTTCCTTAGCAGTAGTTTTTCCTTTAACCAGTTCTGAAACGTTATCTATCAAGATATTTCGAGCTTTTACGTCATTTTTGATAAAGGCGTTAAGTTCTGCTACGCTTGTCCCTGATAAAACAGAAAGCACTCCTGCTTGTTCCAGGAGGCTGACTCGAAATTTCCAATTAGAGAAACCGCTTCCATGGAAAGGTTTGATGTTGCTGGTTTGCGGCACATTTGAATTTATGTTTAAACCCCCCTCCCAAATAAAAAACCTGGGTGCGCCACTGTCGCTAGCTAGAATCGGACCTATTTCCAGAGATGCATTATGATAACAGGATAAAGAAGAAGAAGATGCTCTTGTAGTTGTAATTGCTGCATCATCGTAGTTTCGTCCCACAACTCTATACTTGGAACAACATCTGGTGCTTTATTCTTCTCTACGTATACTTCTACATTAATTTTCAACACCTGTAATGCGTTCTGTGTCATCCCCTTTTTCGGTGGCGTTTTTTTTGTAGCTGCGTCCAGAAGATTCAACCACTCCTTCGTTCTAGGTTGCGAATTGTAAAAAGACATATCTCCTGCTCATGTTTTCCGTCCTACCGTCAGAAAACGACGTCCCAAAGACTGGTAGACGGATGTGCTTATTATCTAGACACCTTGGCAAGTTTTCTTTAATGTAAACATAACCAAATGATATGGGAACAAGACTATTATTATACGTGGTTTCCCTTACTCCACTATATTTTTCTTATTCCGATAGATACTACAATCATGTTGAACAGAAAGATTCAACAGATACCTAATTTCAATAGGCTGTATTCTGGCCCCTACCAGTTAGCCACATAGACATCTGATTTTCCTACACAGGGTGTCAACTAATGCTCGTTCAGCAAAGGATTTTCTCAATGTGAGATGGAAGAAAAAGACGACTCTACTGGGTACCGACATAGTGACTGAATCGGTGTTTCTGATCCATCAAGTGCAAAAATCGACTGGCTTAACTCTATTCCAATATTATCTTCTTGTTTTTCTTCTTCTGTGTCGGCCATAGTTATACATCATAAAAGACTACTTAGGACTCTCATTACGAATATTAATGCAAAATACCTCTTTATTTACTCCGCACTTAGAGTGAATTGATAATAATTTATATTTTTTTTGAATTTCAGATATCATGAACATATCAAGATCATAGTACCAGAATACCATCACGTACACCATCACAAAGAAGTCATCTATAAAACCATCCACCATGGAGGCGGTGGCGGTGGTGGACATAGCCATGGAGGAAAACCGTTTAGTTTTGGTGACCATGGAGGCTGGTAAAACGCAACCTAATCGATAATTATATGTTTTTTTTTTATTCTATGTGTCCTAAGTTTGTTAATTTTTTTTTTGTTAATTAGATTTTACGCTATTGTGATAATTATATATTTTGTGAAAATTAAATATAAACGAAATTTATTTGTTTTGAAAAAAACGATGCCAGATATTTTAAACGTTCCATCACCTGTTTTCAGTTGATTGTGCACTGGACAAAGGTTACTTCAAGATATAAGAGTGGAAAATGCAGGTTTTTGGACAGACAGAAATCTTTCGGTATTAGCTAACACGGGACAATAAACTATATAAAATGAATTTCTCTGTAGAACAAAGTGTCAGTTACTCTACAGAGAGCAACATTTCAGAATATATTGGCGTTAATGACTTTCCACATAATTCTGAGTTTATTATTTCTTTTCTTGCCAATAAACTTGACTCATTCAACAGACAATTTTATTCATAAATATCATATAAAAATCTACATTTAAACACTAATTTAATACGTTTAAACTTGTCTCATTATACTTTTGCAGCAACTCGTTCGACTTCGGAACAAGTTCTTTAGATTTGATTATGAAAAAACTGCTTCAGAGCTTCGATTCCATTCGCCTGCTCTTGCGCTCCTCTTTTTTGCGTGGTACCTATAATTTCTGCGTAGTCATAGTCTTCTGTTTCCCCATCATCTTCCACTTGCTCACCATCGTCATAATATTCTTCATCTTCCGCCCCAGCATCTTCATCCTCAGATTCATCTTCCGGCTGATAACTGGATTGGACTAGATTAATGTTAGCTGCAGGAGCTTTGAAGATTTTATGATATTCATTTCTGCCAAAGTCGTTAGGATCAGTTTCCTGGACTTTGTAGCTGCCGGTTATGAAATGTTGGCCAATGGGATCGTTGGCAGCTGAATTTTTGGCTTCGGTGAGGTGAAAGCTTTCGCTTCTAATGGATTTGTGGGAATTGAGATAGCTGTCGTCATCGTCATTATATTCAGGCTCTGGACCCGAGTTTATGTCGTTGTAGGTGGGGATGGAAGCGAAAGTGTTTATTGCTTCAGGGGATGGTTTGAAGCCATCGTTTAGTCCCCTTATTTCATAGGTATGATGTTTGTGATGTCCATGGTGATGGTGACCACCTAAAAAATGAAAGAGTAAGTATTTAATAAAAATCATTCTATTAATAATATTTGGCATCCTATAAGCAACAAATAATGATGTAGAGGTCATTATCCTAGTCCCATGATTGTGCAATACCGTTGTGCTATTCCTGATCAATAACTATTTTGGGCACAACTTAATCCTATGACTAGTTTTTGAGATACAGGTAGTTTAAAGCCCAAGTTATGTATACATTTTATATGCACTTGGATCTACCTTTCACCTGAGCATGTCACGCGAAGATACCTGTCCATCCTGGTATATTAATTATTAGGTGAAAGGTGGATGTAAATGCATATAAATTTCTTGGACATTAAACTACTTGTATTATCAAAAACTAGTCATAGGATTAGGTTATGCCCATTGTAGTTATTGATCAGAAAGGTGAGATCTATGAAATACTAAAATCTGGTTAAATTTGTCCGCGATCAGAAATCCCATAAGAAGTATGCTATAAAATATTCAGATGTCAAGAAAAGCATTACAAAATATTTAATTTCACAACAAACAGATTTCATCCATTTCTCCAACTGCAAACTATATTTTATGTCAGGGTTTCTGAAATTGTGTTGTTAAAATAATATACCGCATATCGCACTATGTTTTATGTCAAGAGGTGACAGAATGTATTTTATGTCATACCAGTACCTACATTATTGTCTTTTTATACCTTAGATACCATCTACATAATTCATCAATTTATGCCCGTGCGGGCATAAAGTACACATTCTGGCTCGCGCGGGCATAATGTACCATTCTAAACATCAGGTTGACAATTACGCCGCAAATGACGTCGTTTGCGTGTACTCAAAGTTGCATCGATTTCAAATAAAATCCCCCTGGTATGACATAAAAGTTTGTATGCACCACGGGTACTAATAGATATATACCCTCGGGCGATTTACGAACCCTCGGGCCAGAGGCCCTCGGCTTTGTAAGGCTGTCGCCCTCAGGGCATAATCATCTACTTAGTACCCTTGATACATAAATAACTATTGTGTGTGAACATATATTCTTATAAAATTAATCAAATAATTATCTAAGTTGTTCCAGACAGTTGAAAGTAGTTGATAAGGGTTTCAATTGTTATAATAATAATTATTGTATTATTGAATAATAAAAAGTATGTTATAAAAAAGAAGAATGAAGAAAGTTTATTTAAAAAAACCAATAAATAAAGAAGAAGTTTCAATAAAATCTAATAATGTAACTACTTTGGAATTCCAGCCAGGGCTTATAGCCCTCCAAAATATTATCAAAAAATATAAGATTCATTCTACAACAGACTCTAAGTATTTTACAAAAATTCACGCTTGCACTAAAAAATCCTTACAACCATTAGCTAATCTCCAATAAATTCCACCAAAAAGTTCATTATGAAGCCACTTTCAAGGGAAGTTATTTTGCACGAAGTGATTGGAGAGACCACACAATAATGTGAATGGACTAATGGACAGAGGTCGGCGTGACATGATTACGAATATGACGAAGAACATAAATCTAGAGGACATTATTTCGAAAGACATGGTCCTAAGAACCATGGCATAGAACTGCTAGCAGTAGGGAGATCGAGAATATTAAATGGCATCTTTATGGATCTGAGTGGTGGTAAGGACGTAGAAGAGAAGGTGGTGCATCTTGACGGATGGTGGCTTATTACGAGAATAAAAATTGTCGGGATGATCTGATTTGACGTAGAGGCATTGTTACAAAAGTGTATAGAGCTGTTATTAGTAAAGAGAGTGTAAGTTGACGATATCCGTGATATCATCAATAGCAAACTGCTGACACTATCACCCGACGTAAATAGACAAGAACTTTTCAGCAATATGTTTCTCATGATTCCATATGATGAAAGCACTATCGACATATCTCAGCCATAATTTCAGGTTAAAGATTTCAGATTCATAATAGGTTGGCCACGAATGGTGTAGTATTCCAGTGGTGGGAAGAGATTCTTTCTTTTAAGGTTCTCCATATAGATGTGGTGGTTTTAGACGATAAGAGGTGAACTTGGTTCTTTCGATTGTGGATGTGAGGTCTTTGTTCCATTAATTAACAGTTTTTTATTTTTGACATAACCTTAATTTAAATTATTATAATTTGTAAGCAATTAAAATAATTCTAGTGGATTTTTATCTATTCTCTTTTATTCCACGTGGGTTTTCATTGTGATTTAATTGTGAAGTGAATATGATCTTTTGGGTGTACTCGTCTGATTGGTTGAACTGGTTAAAATGCAGTTAGTTAAGTATAAAAAAAACACAGGATCGTTTTCCTATGGGCTTTGGTTTCTAAAACGATCTCTTTCCTCAACAGAAGTCTGGCAGGTAAGTCCTCTTTATTCTGAATAATTTTTGCTTTGTATTTTTGGATTCTCCCTTATAGATTTTTCAATATATTTTGCTATCATATCATAATTAAGTTTTTACCTGATAAATCTTATCTGTTCTTGAAATATAAATATTATATTTTAATTTTTTTTATCCAATTGTTGGCTTCCATTTTGTGTGAGTGTTGATTGGTAGTGCCACATTTATCTGAGGTAAATCAATTCAGATTTTTGGATTTTAAAAAGGTACTGCTGCTCTGGTTTTCAGAATCAATTGTTAGTGTGGGAATATTGGACCATTTACTCTAAATAGAGTCGGTGAAAACCAAATTTTTGTGTCCATTTTCTGTTTGACTCCCTCAATTATTATCTCGACTTAAGGGTGTAATTTTTTAATAGAAATCCAGATAGGCCAAAAATTCAGAAAAAAGTTTTAATAAGAACATCTCAAGAATTTTGACATATTCTGGATTTGATTAATTTCAATCCCAGGTTTATCTTGTAGTATCTATAGTAGCTACCTGCTACCTTAATTTGAAAGGAAAATTTTGTCTATTCAGGGGAGAATCCAAAGATTTAATTTCTTATTGTTTTACCTTATTTTTGTTCATATTTTTGCCTGACAGCAGGAAAGCAGCATTTTTCTCAATCATAACGAACATTTTAATTTAATCTTGTTATTATTTTAATTTTATTATTATCTTACCATTATTCTTAATTATTTAATTGTATTTTTTTTTATATTAAAATATATATTTTTTTTTCAACTTACAATAGCTGTTCATACCTGATTCTGTTGGAAGTTAGTGTCTGTACAACAATCGTTTTATATTGAATTTCAGTTTCAATTTCCTTTACAAGACACTCATTTTTTGACAGAATTCAGGGATTTAATATTCCAAATATTGGTGAACTTGATACTGCCTTATTCTTTTCTGGGTACCTACTCGACATAAAGATCACTGTTTGGAGTTTGGATCAGCTGGAGTTACGTCACCCCGGTAATCTATCCTCTTTCTGGATACAGGAAACAACACGAAGAGCTCCAACTCACGAAAGTGAAACCCCAACACCCATTGAAGAGCTCCGAATTGGAAAGGTATATGGTATCAGATTCACCGCAAAAACCAAGCTGTCAACACTAAAATTTTACAGTAACATTTACTGTTACTCTATGTTACATATAACATTGTTAAATATCAAATTAAATTCTTGTTTGTTGGATTTTGAGTGGTTTCATTTGCACATAAAGGGACTAAACGTTATCTTAATTTTTCGGATTCCACGACCCTAGGTTATCTTGTCTTAAAGTAACAAATGTAAATTAATAAATTAATTTGTAACAAATTGGCGCCCCACGTTGGGCGCCAATTTGTTGCAAATAATTGGAATTAAATCTTTGGATTCTCCCCCAAATAGACAAAATTTTCCTTTTAAATTTCGGTAGCTAGTATAGATACTACAAGATAAACCTGACGGTGAAATCAATTAAATCCAGAATATGTCAAAATTCTTGAGATGTTTTAATTAAAAATTTTTTACTGAATTTTTGACCTGTCTGGATTTCTATTAAAAAACATGACACCCTTTAGTCAAGATAATAATTGATGGAGTCAAACAGAAAATGGCTTTTCAAGCCTCTGCCTGGATTCAAAAAAGAGTTGATAGGGATGGACACACAAATTTGGATTCCACCGACTCTATTTAGAGCAAATGGTCCAATATTCCCACACTAACAATTGATTCTGAAAACCAGAGCAGCAGTACCTATTTAAAGTCCAAAAATCTGAATTGACTTACCTCAGATAAACGTGGCACTACCAATCAGCACTCACACAAAATGGAAGCCAACAACTGGATAATAGTTATTTACATTACAAGTGCGTTTATGAACATGATTACAATAACGTGCGTGTGAAAGATTAGAATCACACGAGTTTTGTAGTTTAAACGCACGTGTGATGTACAACTTTTTATCTACAAAGCGAAAAATAAGATTTTTTTTTCAATCATTTTCGTTTATTAGTCGTTGTATACCTTCATTTTACCTTTACAGGTTTACCTTTGACATTTGTCAAATCACCAAAAATAGTTGTGTCATGAATTCATAACCTTGTCCATAACACCACTAGTTGTGTTATGAATTCATAACCTAGTCCATAACACAACTAGTTGTGTTATGAACCTCATGACATAACTCAAATACTGGAAAATAGTTATGTAAAAACGTCATAAACAAACGCTAGATAAAAAAATTAAAATGTAATATCTATATTTCAAGAATAGATAAGATAAGATTTATCAGGTAAAAACTTAAAAATGATATGATAATATGAATTGATAGCAAAATATATTGAAAAATCTATAAGGGAGAATCAAAAAATTAAGAGCAAAAATTATTCAGAATAAAGAGGACTTGCCTGCCAGACTTCTGTTGAGGAAAGAGATCGTTTTAGAAACCAAAGCCCACAGGAAAACGATCCTGTGTTTTTTTAATACTTCACTGCATTTTAACCAGTTCAACCAATCAGACCAGTACACCCAAAAGATTATATTCACTTTACAATGAAATCACAATGAAAACCCACGTGGAATAAAAGAGAATAGATAAAAATCCACTAGAATTATTTTAATTGTTTACTAATTATAATAATTTAAATTAAGGTTATGTCAAAAATAAAAAACTGTTAATTAATTAGGTCATTAAGCTAAAAAATTATTATTTCAGAATCAGAGGTTAGAGGAAGATAGAAATATATCCATGTGCTAAAAGTGAGATAAATATAATTTCTTTGAATGAAAATACAAATGACTGTCAAATGCGAAATATTTGCATTTTACGCAGATGATGGATAGATGGCAGCACTTGTATTATTTTGAACTTTGTGGATATTTTAGATTATTTTGCTGATTCTGAAATGGAAAAAATACGACTTTATGGAAATAAGAAGAGATGGAATATGTTACGTAAATGATAAATTTATCGTAACAGTTTTCAAAAGGGAGACGCAAACAAAAGAGAAATTACAAAGGTGATAGACAAACAATTCTAGATGTTGAATCAGAGGAGATCCCTGATATAGAAGAGGAGAGAGGAAGAAATTGCAAAAGCGCTAAGCTAATTAAACAACGGAAAAGCCTCAGGCATGGATGGTAGAATACCAGAAATGCTAAAGGATGCAGAATACCTTGTAAAACAACTGGAAACACTTTTCAATAAATGTCTAATAAAGGGATAAATACCTACCACTTTGGGGGACTGCCATCGCCGTTCGATACCTATACAACAAAGGAGAGCCATCAAATTTTGAAAACTATAGATCCATAAGCCTCCTGTCTTAGATATACAACCTATTTATGAGAATAATCACCAACTGCCTAGAAAGGATTCGATATTTACCAACCTAAAGAACAGCACGCTATAGAAAGAGCAACAGCACTTCACACAATTAGAATACTGAATAAAAAGACGACCGAATATAACATTGCAACATGGCTAGCACTCATTGATTTTAGGAAAGCCTTCGACACTGGATGATAGAAAAGCTGAGAAATGCACGAATAGATCAGCGATATATAAGCGTTATCAAAAATATTCAAGAAGCAACAAAAATGAAAATTAGGAATGACACAAACGAAGTGATGATCGGCGATACAATATCACCTAAGCTGTTTACCCTAGTCCTCGAAGATGTGTTCAAAGAACTACCCACATTGGGAAAATAGAGGGATTAATATATCTGTAGAAAACCTCAATAATTTAAGACTCGCTGATGACATCGTAATATTCGTCCCGAACGAAGCAGACTTAGAAATCATGCTGAAAAAACTACTCCAAGAATCCAAGAAGATGAGATTGGAAATCAACATATCAAAAACAGAGTTTATGACAAATGAGCAAACAGATTGGGACACAATATCCATGGAAAATCAACAGGTGAAAAAAGTGAACTTCTACAAGTATCTAGGACAGGAAGGACATAACGCTTGGCAAAGTCAATCAAGAGCTTGAAATTAATAGGAGAATACGACTAGGATGAGTGGCGTATGGTAAAATGCGCTACATATGCTGGTTCAAGCTACCTCTGAAGCTGAAAACCAAAGTGTATACAACGAATGTATTCTGCCAGTAGCTGCCTATGGACGCGAAACATGGACTCTCACAAAGAAAATTTTAAATAACCTGCAAGTTCATCAGAGAGCAATCGAAAGGAGAATGATAGGTATTATACTAAGGGATCACAAGACCAACGAGTGGATAAGAAACACAACTAAGGTCGAAGACATTACAGATAGAATATGCACCCTTAAATGAAACTGGGCCGGCCACGTAGCTAGAAATATAAGCAACAACTGGAGTAGAAAAATAATAAGATGGAGACCCTTAGGGGAACGCAGAAGTGTCGGCAGACCCCAACAACACTGGTACGACGACATCAAGCGCACAGCAGGACTAAACTGGTACCAAGTCCCACAGAATAGAAATATCTGGCAAAACCTGAGAGAGGCCTATATCCAGAGGATAGAGAACGGCTAGGAAGAAGAAGAAGAGAAGAGATTCGGTTCTGCTACCCTGGAACCGCAAATTTAAAAAAATAAATATGAAATATCAAGTATAAGCTCATAGCTACTAAAGAATTGTATCAGTTCAGTCCACTATGCTAAACGTTGCAGTTTTTGAAAATAAATAATTTTTTTGAATAATTCCTTGTTGCCGACCACTATCTGAGACGAGATCTTTTCTTCAGCACCAAAAAGATGCTAAGTTTGCAGAAACGAAAAAATTTAGAGTAACTAGTTCCTATTTAATGGTTTCTCAAATCGGAAAGACAAAACACTTCTCGAATGTGGAATTGTAAATTTCCAACAAAAAAAAACTAGTAAAAACACTTATGTTGAAGCTATTGATCAACCGTTATCTGTTGTTGATGAAATGCCTTAGTTGGCTCCTGTAAGAGATATTTCTCGATTTAGGTCCACAATTTCCAAAAGAATTCGACTGTAGCCCAATATTGGATTATCGACAAGCAGTCACTTGCGTTAAGGAGGAAAACGGCTATTTATGACCCCTTCTACAACTCATCTTTATTCTTGAGCTAAAACTCTGGTTCTCCTCTAACTGCAATGTAAGATTGAACTGGAGTTTCATTCCGGGTAGAAGGATTCACAACTGCTAGTAAACATGTCAAAAGCGAAAGTTGAGTACAGTGGTAATTTCGAAAGCCAGTAAAAAAAAAGCAGAAGAAGAAAAATTCACCTCATATAACCAAACAAATAGAAACTGTTCAATACAATTAATCTAATTACCTTTATGTTTATGATCATGTTTGTGCTTATGTCCATGATGATGTTTGTGTCCATGATGGTGGTCGTGTTTATGCTTGTGGCCGTGCTTATGTTTATGGCCATGCTTGTGTCCATGCTTATGACCGTGACCATGTTTATGATGATGCTTGTGGATTATAATTTTCTTTTCTTCTTTCGGCTTTTTGTAGATGACCTGCGTGTGTTTGTGCGTGTGCTTGTGGACTGGAACGTATATTTTAACGTGCACACTAGAAAAAGGTTAAAAAAATATTGGTGGATTTTTTGTACAAGAACAGAACAGTATAAAATAGTTTGACTAATTCAAAAATAATAATAGCAAGTAGTTTTTTTCCTTACTGTTTTCCATTATGTCCATCAGAATAGGAAACTCTGACAAAATATCCAATGAAAATCAGCAAAAATAAGTCTAATTTCATTTTTTAATAATGAAATTCACTAAGGCACTAATAAAGCAATTCAAATAAGCATCACTTATGCACTACATTTTCTCTAAACGCACCATTGCACCAGTTTTCACTGAATAACTCACAATAATCAAAAAGAAATTATTTTATATTAAAATTTTCCCCCAAAATTTTGTGGGTTCTGGTCAGTAAGTCCTTATCTAAGATTAAGCGTAGAAATAAGTTAATCGAATATTGTATAAAACAAATCATTATCATAGTCCGTGGATAAAAACCGCGGAATCATTAATTTTTGCGGCAAAGTTCGGAAGTAAATTAGCGTTTTCCCATGAAATCTGACGAAATTTGTCTACCTAATTCGATCGATTTTCTTCGACAAATTTTAATATTTACATAATTATCGCATAACAATACATAATGACTAGGAACGTTTATTTCACGCAGTGTATCCGGATACTAAGTGGATTGGATTAATAATGGGTATTAAGTAATAATCCTGAAACAAATACCCAGGATTAGAAATTTTTATCCGGATCGGAGTACTTAATCCAATCCTTCAAATTAGTAAGATTGGACTTAAAATGGATTATCTTAAATGTGGAATAAACACCTCAAATCTGGAACTTAAGAAATTTGTTGCTAACTTCAAAGAAAAAATGACCCAAACCTAATAAAAAACTGAAAAGTGTATCACCTGATTGCCTTTTATGAAGTTACACACAAAGTAATTTGTGCTTGCGCTGTTAACAAGGCTTGAGAAAGGATAAGCACTAATCTTAATCCATTTAATAGTTGTGAAATAAACGAATATGGATTAATAATCCTTAATCCACTTAGTATCCGGATAAATACAGCGTACGAAATAAACGTAGTCATTATCTCTGTATCAATGTGATGAAACAGATGACATTATTGATTGGCACAATAGAATGGCTGATATAAATTTTGATCAAATTAGAAATATATTGAAAGTCAAAATTTTCTAATTTATTGATAATGACAAGCCATTTTGTTCTATTTAGTAGTTGTCTTATAGGAAAGCAACATAGATTTTCCTTTGATACCAGCAAATCTAAAGGTGGTCGCATAGGAGAATAAATATACACGCCGATTTGTGCGGGCGTGCCAGATAGGTACTTTCCACTCTCAACAGATGATTTCTCAAAGTACACAGTACTCAATTTTATTAAACAAAAATCAGAAACTATAGACGGAACCAGTAATTTCTTAAATAAATTCAAAAATACGACGGGCAGAGAAATCACGACCTTACGTTTAGAAAATGGCCTCGAATTTATGAATCAGAAACTTAGAAAGAGTCTAGAAAAAAATGTGAATTAGACATGAAAAGACTTGTATATACACCCCTCAGGAAAACGGAAGGGAAAATAGAACTTTTGTGGAAGTTCAATGACTCATTTCATCAAAAAGATCAGTGACATCACTCTACTACCAAACGACATATTCTGGTTAGTTTTGATGTCGTCTCATTGTTTACTAAGGTACCAGTGAATCAGGCCTTAGAGTATCTGAAAGATGTTTTTCCGGAGGAAATCAACAACTTATTCCACCACGGTCTGACGACTACGTACTTTCAATGGCAAAATGAATTCTTTGAGCAGACAGATGAAGTCGCAATGAAGAGTCCAATCATCCAAGCTCAATAGAATCCAGGATACAGGTTTCCGATGGAAGTTGAGAAGGACAACAAAATTGCATTCCTCGACGTCCTCTCAAAAAGATCACCCTCAGGTAAACTGGGACACAGAGTATATAGGAAGCTGACGCATACGGATAGATACCTCAACAAGGAATCCAGTCAGCATTTTAGGCAAAAGAGAGGAGTCACTAAAACTCTATCTGACAGGGCAATCCGGTTTGTGAACCCAGATACCTTCAGGACGAGATGCAACACCTAAAATCAGCACTTGAAGGAAATGGGTACTCCAAGCAGGAGATAAATAGAGCCATAAGACCGAAGCAACAGCGCACAAATAACAAGGAACCAGCACAGGTGGCAGGGAGAGCCTTTCTCCCCTACATCAAAAATGTCACAGATCGCATAGGACGAACGCTAGAAAGACACAACGTTAAGCCTATCTACAAGCCCACAAGAACAATTCAACAAAGTCTAAGATCGGCCAAGGATTTCAGGGCACCTCTTGAAACGGCTGGCGTCTATAGAATTCCCTGCTCCTGTGGATCTGTCTATGTAGGAACAACCAAACGCTCTATCAACACCAGGGTCAAAGAGCACAAAAGAAACTGTTAACAGGGACAAATAGATAGATCAGCAATCGCTAAACACGTGCTTATACAGACCTTAAAGAAATCTTGAACGTTAAGAATTGACATATGTAGCTTGTCAAATAGTAGCAGATATTCATTCTAAACTCACGACCTCTAAAGGAGATCCAAGAAACGACTATAAATTCGGCCCTTAAATCACTCTTCATTCTCGTCCATAGATCAGACCGCCGCCTGGGAAGTTTCACTCCAAAAAGCACAGGACCCAAATGTATAAATAACGAAAATATTCACAGAACACAATGATAATAGTATAACAAAAAGGAGACGCACATCTGTAGTAACATCACGCACAAGGGTATCAGCGCTTGTCAATAATAGGCAATCCTCTTTGCGCTTATAATCCTTGGTTTGTTTCAATCAGTTGTCTTTCTCCGTCTCTTTACGTTATACATATCTTTCTTCTCTCTCAAGTAACGGAATTTGTTCGTGACGCGTTTTTCAAATCACTCTCCATTCTTGTCCAAATATCCGACCGCCAACTAGAAGTTTCACAGCTGTGGTTTCACAGTGAATGCTATTGAAAAAAGTCAATTTACATCAGTTGGTGATCGGGTTAATCGGAACACCGTTTCCGAAAACGCCTATTATGATCCGAAAAATACCGACAGATGAGCAAACCTGTGTAGTGTATAATATTACATAAGATCCTTGGGTCTGTACCAAGAGGTCCAATCAGCGAGTCGAGTGGCTGTAGAATAGCGGCCATGAGTGCGATATTCTGTTTTACACTTTGCATTTCTGGCAATCCCAGTCTCAGTCAAGTAAAACATATTCTCTACTGTAGATATTTTTCTGAGGTTAATAGGTATTAATTAAATAATTTGATAAAGGAAATTTTTCTGCAGATTTTTGGGTAGTTTAGGAAGGGTTCGAAAGCTTTCTACGTGAGTGCGTGCATGAAACCCCACTTTTCCGCGACCGCAAGCATTTAGGTCATGAACTTACCACTTTTCCGTACTAGTGCGGAAAAGTAGAATACCTAATATTGGTAGGTATACAGGTACTTACAGATTACAGGTATACTACAGACAGGTGCGGAAAATTAAAAAAAAAGTATTTTCTTAATAATTGGTACAAATATTATCTTTCATCTCGTAGAAAAAAATAGTGTTCCTAATTCGTGCGAAAAGTCTCTTTTTCTCACTCGATTGCTTTCTGCAATCGCGAGCGGAAAAGTGACACTTTCTGCACTAGTTATGAAATATATACCTACTATTTAGGAGTGGAGTGGCATCAAAAATAAACCTTTAGCTATTTTATGCCGCCTTTTGCTAAGCACTCTTACAGATTTCGGAAAGCCGGCGCTTATGATATTCACGGTGTCTCCTTCAAGAAAACGAATGTTTGGTTCATAATTTAAAAACTATCACTTCTAGAGAAAAACTGACTCCGCCGCTGGAATCAGAAAGATCTACAGTGACTCTTTTAATCCACAGTGGCGACATTTTGTGCCCACTCGTTGGTAAATTTGAATATGAATATATAGGACTTAAATGGACATCCGTCGTAAAAAATTGAAAACAACGCATTTGATGACGAATATTATAGGTTCATCAAATACGTTGTTTTCAATTTTTTATGATGAAATTTACCAAAGGGTGGGCACAAAATGGCGGCGGGACCTCTATTGTCGCCATTATTGTAATGGTTTATTTAGCCACTGTAGAAAGATCTATACAAGAACTCGTTGTCACCTTTTCGAGCACTTATGAGACAACCGAGATACAAAGAGGTGCCCCAAAATGCAGTTTTTCCAAAAACACCTTTTATCTGAAAAACGAAAAGGGCGATGACAATTTTGTTGACGGCATCTTACATCTTTCAAAAAAGTATAGTCCGGGGGCCGAGGCCCTTTTTTCCAAATCATTAATAACAAGCTAGTTTTTTCAATGCAGCTTCATTTCACCGAGACGCCCAACTTCTTTCTCACCAAAATTGCGAAAACAGGTAGCTAACATACTGCGCAGGTGTGAAACATGTCGATTTGGTGACTATGAAAATTTGATTAATAACAGTTAGTTTTTTAGCTAAATGTTAAGATAATTTTATGAATAATTTGAAACAACATTTGTCCGACAAAATAAAGGGTTTGGTCTACGATGTCCCCCCCCCTCAAACATGTAGCAATTACGTTGCATAAAAAATGATTAATAACAAGTTGATTTTTTCAATGTAGGTTGGTAAATATTATTACAATTAAATGGTCACACTGTCCTACAAATAAACAGGTAGCTATTTTCAGTCCTACACTCAAAAGTTGTCAATAAATCTTCGTGAGCATCTTCAATTTGATAAGACGCCCAAATTTTCTTTTGCGAAAATTCCAAAAACAGGTAGCTAACAGAGTGCGCAGGTGAAAAACATGTCTATTTGGTGATCATACAAATGTAAATAATAACAGTTAATTTTGTAGCTAAATGTTGAGATAGTTTCATAAATAATATGAAACGACATTTGTCCGACAAAATAAATGGTTTGATCTAGGCTGTCCCCCTTCTCAAACATGTAGCAGATACGTTACATAAAAAATGATTTATAACCAGTTGATTTTTTCAATGTAGCTTAGTAAATATTAGTACAATTAAATGGTTACACTGTCCTACAAATAAAGAGGTACATTTCTCCAGTCATTCACTCAAAAGTTGTCGACTTCACACATAACAGTAAAAAATCTAGTGGTAATTTTAACACGCAACATATAG